TAGCTAAAATCTAACCATGATTATATAATAGCAGCTGCATTCTGGCACGATAAGCTGTACGTTTTATATTCAGTTAACGTATGATCCGATTAGTCGACTAATCGAAAAAATAATCGGTGATTAATTGATTATAAAAATAATCGTTTGTGGCAGCCCTACTTCAAGGTATTGCAACACCTGGAATTCATGATCTCCAGCAAAACTACTTATGACATTTTCAGCTTATGGTCAAAACAGCTCTTTTGCTTGCATTGACCTCTCTCGCTGACAAGTTTGAGTGCAGCAAGCGGATTCATCGTTTTAAATGCTGTGCAGACTCACACAGACACATGTGCTGGCATGTAAATAACGCAACTCAACTGAAGAATACAAACAACAACACAAACAAAACAGACTTTGGTGTTTGGTAAACATCCAGTACAGGATGTTTATGTGACATAGAAATTTCCAAATTTACTTATTATTATTAATATTATTACTGAAGCCAAAAACTGGTCAAATCTAAACTTACTTAATCTCAGCCCTTGCATACTAATAAGTGTACATTAAGCAGAGTGAAAACAGAGGCAGTAATTAAACATACTTACATATTCAAAGCGGTCTTTGCAGAGCTGGACCATGAGATGGAGAAAGACCAGGGCTGAGAACCACAAACACCACATGACCACCTCCTCCACTGTCTGCACGTTCAGTACTCCAAATATGAAAATGAACTTGTAGAAGATGAAGTTCCAGAATTTATCCTTGAGATGCTTAAAAAAAAACAAAAGTAAAAAATAGATGCCTCTATATAAGATACAAAACACCACTTCATTTGTTGGGAAATAAATGCATTATTCTATTTAACAAAAAAAAAACTCACCTGCTTTTCACTGACTCTAAGAGGACCAAACACCACATACTGAATCATTTTTGCAACTAACATTAAAGAACAGCAGAAGGTGTTGACCAGCACCTGTCAAAACGCAAACAATGTTAGTAGTGGATCTATACTTGAATAATAATATAAAAACTTTCAACGTGAATGGCACTCACCCATACAAAAAGACTGTCGGTGACAAGATACCACAGGACAGTCCTTGCCAGTTCTGTGTTACCAATAGCATGATGTTTTAGATGTTCGAGGTCAGCTTCAGAGGGAGCTGCTGGTGCATCATCCGTTTCCAAAGCCCCGAAGCCCGGGTCAGTCGTGACAGTGGTGTAGGCACTGAAGATGCTGCCAGCGAGCAAAGCCACACTCAGTGCCGTGTAGGTCTGCAGGCTGGGCCATGGAAACCTCTCCAAAAACAGCAGAGGCATCGCAATGGCTGCGGCTCGCTTCTTCGCTCTTTTAAAACTCACTCCACCTGCAAGCGAAGAGAGAAGCTGGTTAGTAAATCAAACTTAATGAGCTGAGGTTAACTCATATCCATGATTGATAGATAGATAGATAGATAGATAGATAGATAGATAGATAGATAGATAGATAGATAGATAGATAGATAGATAGATAAGTCAGGGTACATACAATTTTCTTGCTACTTCTGTGGCAACAGCTAATAGCACAGAGCGTAAAGCTAACCTTTCCACAACACTTTCACCGTGAGTGTTATAGTCTAAATTCAACTTAATACAATTTAAGTTGTGACAGCACACAAGAAAATCACCAACCAACCTCAAAAGCAAAACCTCTAGCAGCAGGGTGAAAAGCTACAGTTCACGCACAGAACAGCTAATTCACCTGGCTGGCGTTACCTAACTAGCTCACATGCTAGCGGATATTAGCTACGCATTTTTGGCACTGTTGACGGAAGCGTAATAAACTCTAAAACAGCGGGCAGCTCCTGTTAAAGTTCTCACTTACAGTTATAAGCATACTTACACACAAGACCCAGATAAACGTATTCAGCTCGGCTGTGTTTTTAGAGGAGCTGCACGGCGAACATAGCAGTCGACAACATTGTGGTGTTTATCTCGCGGAGAGCAGGCAGCTGGCCGAGGAATGACGTCATCGCGACCATTTTAAAGTGGCAGCGATGGAAAATGTCCTGACATCTGATCCGCTGGACGGGTCACCAACATAAACACACTGCAGTCATTTGTAAATTTATGTTTTAATCGAATTACGGTTTTACTCGAAAAAAAATAATTTGGACTGGCTGCTAAAATAGGTGTTTCATTTCCAGGTTTGTTTGTTTGTTTGTTTGTTTGTTTGTTTGTTTGTTTGTTTGTTTGTTTGTTTGTTTGTTTGTTTGTTTGTTTGTTTGTTTGTTTGTTTGTTTGTTTGTTTGTTTGTTTGTTTGTTTGTTTGTTTGTTTGTTTGTTTGTTTGTTTGTTTGTTTGTTTGTTTGTTTGTTTGTTTGTTTGTTTTTGCCCTCTAAGCAGTCTGACTTTCTTGTCATTTAATGCTATTTTTAAATTATCTTGACCAATTCAGTACATTATATAAAATTACTGTTTAAAAGCACTATATGGAATGTTGTGTTGTTTTTTCTTTCTCAGTATTGGCTGGACTTTCTTTTACATGTTTTGCAGTTTTGTTGCTATGTTAAGTAACTTATCTCTTACACACAAATCATTACGGCATAAAAGGTTCAAGAAAAAAAATCAAGAGACCCAGTTTTGTGTCAACACGTTGTGGAGAAATTAACAAATAACTAAATTCCAAGTGGATTTTTAATCAGTTTTGTTTGCAGACTTTAACAAGGATACAATTTGTCCCAATTTCTTTGATTGAATCAAGGACACATAGCAAATATATAGTTACAGTGTTTAAAAAAACAAAACAATGAATAAATACAGGCCCTATTGTACTTTTTTATCTCTTTCATTTGCCTTTTTAATTGACAGTTTTATTCATAATTTATTTCTACTTGGATATTTGTTTTACAAGTGGTGTTATTATTTAAATCTGAGAAAGGAGAGAGGAGGAGATGACCTTCAGGTAAAACTAAAATGACCCAACACCCACAAACAACAGCAGTAGTGAAGTTCAGTTTTGCATCTTGGTTTATGTGAGAGCAATGTTGTTGGTCAGGATGGTTGTCTGACTAACAAGTAATGTAGTGTGAGTGAGCTGCAGCAGCTGCCCATCAAAAGTTTAAATGCCTGAAAATTTTCAGCAGCTAGAACTGTACAAAAAGGTAAAAACAAGCGCTTATGTGCGACTCAGAATATACAAAAATACCTTCAATTTATACGTCAATACTATCCCTTCTGCTACTTGTTATGTAATACTTTTCTATGTACTGGTGTTTTTACTTGAGGGAAGCATGGTGGGTAGAGCTGATACCTTTCAATGAGCATGTTTCAAGTTGGCCTTCCAGCCTGGTGGAGTTTGCATATTTCCATTGTGCATGTGTGTGGGTTTTCTCCAACACAACATGCATTTTAGTTCCACATGTAACTCTAAATTATCTCCAGTTAGTGAGAGTGCACGAGGTCATTTGACGTTTTTGTCTCTATGTGATAAACTTGCAATGACTGCTGGAGATTGACACTAGCTCCCTATGACCCAGAAAGAAAAGCAGATAAGGAAAATTCATAGGTCGATGGAATAATCATAAAAAAACAGTTATATTAGCCCATATTAGACTATGTTACATGTTACAGGGTTATATTGTCAGGATTCTGTTGTGTCAGAGGGTGTTCATTTCAGCCGAGCAGAATCTCACCAGACGTTTACATAATCTCCTCCTGATGGATTCGTGGATAGTTTTGGCTGAACTGAAACAGTGTTCTTGCTGAATGGTTGAACAACATTCAGTGACAGCTCTTGTGGCATTCTTGTAACTTTGTGTTCTAAAAATGATCCAATCCAATCCAATCCCTGTTACTTAATTTACTTGTCCTCCATCATTGAACCCCCTTTGTGTGACTTTAAAGGAGACATATCATGCTTTTAATTCCTTCTTTTTCACATTTAAATCATTCAGTTGGGGTCTATATAAAGTATTACTGCAATGCTTTGGTCTAAATTCCTCCTTGGTTTATCTTTGGAAGACCCTATTTAACCCCTTTTCAGAGATGTGTCTCAGATCAACTAGTTTTGACGCTGTCTCTTTAAATCCAATCTAGGCACTTCAAACCCCGCCCCCCTCCAGCTTCCAGACAGGTGTTATGGACTAATTATCTATCTGTGTCACATGTTCAATGTTACAGTGGTTTGCAAAAGTATTCATACCCCTTGAACTTTTCCATATTTTGTCACATTACAACCACAAACATAAATATATTTCACTGGA